TTTTTTTTTAAAAAAAAAAATTGATTTTTTTAAAATTCAATAGAATGTGCTAATAATAAATTGGTTTATTTTTAAATGTGATATATTGATATTTATATTTAAAATAATTCATGATTTTCAATTATTTTTAATTAAATTAAATTGATTAAAAAAAAATTAATTTTTTTAAGAAATGTATACGAAATATTTAAAATTCAATAGAATGTGCTAATAATAAATTGTTTTATTTTTAAATATGATATATATATTGATATTTATATTTAAAACAATTAAACATGTACATGATTTTCAATTATTTTTAATTGAAATCAAACTAAGATTTTTTTTATTTTTTGATTTAATCATATTTATATTTAGATAATCCATATCCGTATGAGATTTAATTAATATGTTTAATGATAAAAAGTCTAATAAATTAAATTTTAATTGAAACGAGAAATAAAATCAAACCAAAGAGGTATTGTTCAAATTTTATTTAAAGTGACATTTTACGACTTTCTTTCAAATTTTTACTCATCCCAAAATCAAATTATAAAATCAAATCTAATCTAATAATGCCTTGCCACATACGTTCACGTCGTTCCCATTATAACGTCCATTGAAACTGGGCTATGATAGATGAACTTGTTGACATACGCTAAGACAGAAACTGCGCCTACTACAATATTAATGGTAAAAGCCGCCATGATTTTTAGGACTCTGTTGCCAATAGGTTCATATGACTAATATCTATAATTTCTTTAAGAAAGAATTTAAATTCAAATTAACCAATCCATTTAATTGAATCAGAATAAATAGAATATTTCGAACGAGGTTTTCTGGGCAACAGTGCAGCCAAAAGTGGAGGAACCTCGTCAGGGATTACCATGTAAGTAAATAAATAATATTACATTCATTTAAATTAAATTTATTTATTTAATATTCAAACTGATTTTGATATTTAGAACTATGTCCTTTATCGTAATGGTAACCCTGAGCGGCGGCTGTGAATGCATACCGGCCAAAGATATTATCGCGAATTTAGAACGAAATTTTGGGAGAGGCCGGGTAATTATACTATAATAAAATTTATAATTAATATTTACGTTCATGTTTTAAATTTGATAAATTTGATTAATTTTAGTCATGCTTTATTATCGTAGGGCAAGGAGAAACTTACCTACGTATCGTAGAAGAAGATAATTATTTTTATTTTTTTATTATTTATTAAGTGAGTAGCTAGACCCAGTTCGTACCAAATATCGACTGGAGACTCACATTTTTTTTGGACTATGACTGATACTGACGTCCACGTCATACAGCCTGGGTACTATTTTATAAAATAGTAGCGAACAAGTATCAAATATGTATTTTTTTATTAAGTTATAATAAAAATTAGAATTTACTTTAATTTTTAACATAAAAATTGTAAATAATAAAAAATTCGTAAATAAAAATAAATTTGCTTTCCCAAACTTTAAAAAAAAGGTGTTTATATAAAAGAAAAGGTGTTTATATTATTTTTGATTATTCAATAGTATCACATGCCCCTTGTATATATTCTACTGCATACGCAGCTTTAACGATCGAATAGTAATATTACGCAGGTTTACAATCTCGTAAATTTTTGAAATATTTTAACCGTAATATTACGCAGGTTTACAGTCTCGTAAATTTTTGAAATATTTTAATCGTAATATTACGCAAGTTTACAGTCTCGTAAATTTTCAAAATATTTTAACTGTAATATTACGCAGGTTTACAGTCTCGTAAATTTTTGAAATATTTTAACCGTAATATTACGCAGGTTTACAGTCTTGTAAATTTTTGAAATATTTTAACTGTAATATTACGCAGATTTACAGTTTTGTAAATTTTTGAAATATTTTAACCATAATATTACGCAGGTTTACAGTTTCGTAAATTTTTGAAATATTTTGACCGTAATATTGCGTAAATCTTATGATATTGAAAACTTGTGTAATATTTTAACCGTAATATCACATAAATCTTACGAAATTGTAAACTTACGTAATATTTTGAAATTTTCGAAATATTATGCCATAAACTTTCATAAACTTACAAAATCGTAAACTTACACAATTTTTTGCACTATAAAATTTCCTGATGTAATATATATTAATACTTTATTAGTTAGGATTTTTTAGAATCTAGTCCACTTTTGATTTAAAATTTAGACTTAAAGATTTGCAAACTAGATTCTAAAACCAGGTTTTTGATCTAAAATCTAGGATTTCACTATTTCTAGTAAGTGGATTTTACATACATATGTAGTTATAATACATTTAATAATTAGATATCAAATATAAACTAATTAATTCTTCATATTTAACAACCTGCATTTTTTTTAAAAAGTAGTTCATTTGCCTAATAATTTTACTTGAAACTATATTAATACCCTTTATTGAATCTAAGTAATTTACAGCAACTGCTATTTCAAAAGCAATTGAATTCTTTTCTATATTTTGATTAATAAAGATATGATCAATAATTGAATTTAAATAAGTATATTGTAAATCATTATTTGGATTGAATAATTGATAGATTGATTTAATTTTTTATAACATTTACATATTACTTCAGAATTCTGAAGTTTTGCCCTTTATTATATATAATTTGATGATTTTCAGCTTTTAGTTTTACAAGTTTTACAAATTTTACATGAATGGCTTTTTTAATATGTTATATAATGTTATTTTTTGCTTGTTAAGAAAATTATTGAACCTATTAAAAATCATAATATATTATATATATATATATAAATTATTTATAAAAAAATATTAAATTTAATAACATTTCCATTCATTTTTCTTAATTTTGCTAAATTTATCTTGTCTTGCATCAAATAATACATCATGACTATTTAACTTTTTTAGATAAAGTATAGATTGCTTAGCTTATTGCATCCTACAATATATTAATTATTGAATAAAGTTAAAACTTCATCTACTATTAAAATAAGTCATCCTATAATTTAAAGTAAAGTTTATATATAAAATTCTTTGATTATGATTTTTTTCCTTTTTACTAAAGTAAGGTTTTATATGAAAATAAAATTTTTACCAGTAATATATCTTAATAGTAGGTGGGTTCTATAAAGTTGCTAATTACTATATAGCAATATGTATACTTTTACTTCAATCTATTTTATATTATTTCATTTTGATTATTTAAGTCACTATTGGATTTCACATCCACATATATCTTATTAACATTTTTTTGGATTTTCTAAATTATCGTAAACATTTGAATTTGCATAAGTTACATATTGTAAAGTATTGATTCAAATTCTAGAAATGATACATAATTAAGTTAATTATATATAAATAAAAATAAGGTTTTTACTTCAAATTACTGGAGGTGATCATCACCAGTTGGCCAGAATTATCAATTTTTACTGGCACTATATTTTTTAATGCTGGTCAATTGACATAATTTCAGTTACTGGTGATCATCACCCCTGATAATAATTAGATAAATTCTAAAAATAATAAAAAATAAAATAAAATTAAAAAACTTACTTGTTTTTTTAAATATTACTATTTTCTTTTTCTATAGCTTTTCTTCATTTGGAATTTACTTTATTTACTTCTCAACTTAAAAGCTCTCCAAGCCTGTTGGATAGCTTTTGCACTAATATGAAATAAGCAATTTTCATTATTCGCCATATTATCACAGGTCGAAATGCTAAAAATCGGCAAAAAAAATGGCACGAAAAGCAGTGGCTATTCTTGGCTATTCTTGGCTATTCTTGGCTGTTTTTGGCTATTTGCGAATTAACCTATACTAAATAGTTTATATAAATTTGCGAATAGTTTCTGCAATTCTAGCCATTTTTTTTGCCTGTTTTTGGTTATTTGACGTGTGTATATTTATAATAATTACGCTATGGATATAAAGAATAATTCATAAAAATCTCATCAACTTCATCAGAACTGAGTAATGATACATTTCCTCCTTTTTTCATATTCTTTCATATAAAATCAGAATATGTAAGATTCTTTTTAGATGATTTAGTAATACATTTCTTTAGATGATTGTTAGCACATTCAATGGTATTTTTACAGATAATTACCAAGAAGTCATATACAGTACAATAAATATGAAATGAGTGTCTCTCAGCTTTAAATCCCCATCTTTATATGATCTTTCAATCATTTGAATAAATCCATTCTTAGAAAAGTGTTTTAGGTTATTTTCAAGAAGTTTCTTAAATGGATAATGAACATGAGAACACCACATTTCTGGTTTTTCACCACTATACCTACCTATATTGCAGATTGTTTAATGCCTGCACTACTACAGGATTTAAGCCAGAATAGTAATTAGTTTTAACCATTTTTACGATTATAAATAGTTTATAACATTTTATAGTAATTTCATAGATTTATAGTGTTTTTAGCAATTTATAGCAAGTATATTATAATAAGACATCATATTCATTTTTATTTGATTACAAGCATATCGGGAATTTATATCTCGAATTTACATCAATTTGTGGCATGAGATGAGTTACAGATCACCAATCGAGTTCCTGAGCCGTTTTCTTGCTAACCTTTTAACATATACACGTATTCATTTTTCCGATGCTGTATACATAAAATCATGTGCGCGTGAACAATTGTTCACGCCAATCACTTTTACATGGGTTAAATGTACACATTTGATGTTCGTACTGTTTGTACAATAAAACGATTATGTATAAAAAAATTGGCATATAAACGATGCACATACTCATCCATGTTCAGTGTTCACATATAAGGTTGCAACAAAAAATAATTAAGGTAATTGATATTTCGCATTGTAACATTTTTTTTAAATATGAAAACAGTGCATACATATAATCAATATTAATGAATATAGACTATCACAATACTATTTAATCGTCCCAACATATGAATTTTTATGCACCACCTAACTAAGCTCTGACTATCGGCACACGTATTTTCTTAGGTGAAGAATTTGACTTTCGATAATATGGGTGAGGGAGATTTGATGATTGAGTTGATGATGATGAATTTATAGTACAAATAGTAGATCTTACCCTCTCTTACGTAAATAAAAACAATGAGATTACATTGCGAAGCGACTTTTTTGAAGATCATGAAGTAAGGTTCTTATCAATAACTAATATAGAGGTGATTATGTTTAAAAAATTCGCGTTTTCCGTTGGAAGCAATACTTTCGATAATAGATTAAAACGGTAAAGACCTTCATATGCCAAATAGATGCTAAAGATTTTAATCTCACTTCCTATTATTTGTTTTATATCTAATTAGCTTGGCAATCAAGCATCAGCAAAGTTATAATAGTGGTACTGTACTTACCACAAATTAATATACCGTACATTTCTAGACCAGCCACATAACCGTAAATATTAATTATAAGGTATAAAGACCCTTTCATGAATTCTGCTAATTTAATTACACTTTTATTTACGGTGTCAGGGCAATGTGGTGGCTTAATCTCACCAAATATAAATTCCCTATCAATATCGTCGATTTTTGAGAGGATCCGGAAATCTGGCTTTCTACCATGTCTATGCCCATCTAATAATCGTCTCTCCTTGGAGCTTTCAGATTCGCTATTAGCTCTTTATTTCAATAATGAAATGTAATCATTATTTATATATCTAGTATACTGTAGTGATCGCATAAGACTTACCAAACTAATGAAAGCTCGATGACAGTATCGATGAATAAACGTATCTTCGTCTAATTTCTTGTCCTCAATGTAACTCTCCGAGGATAAATAGGTAAAACTGCAAGGAAGAAAATGAGAGTTAATAATACCATTAACAAATATTTTTTATTAAATTTAGAACTTACAAATTTCTCGAAACAATCTGGACACAATCAAAAATGTCTTCATCTTCGTCCGTTAATAATGAATTCCCTTTCGACCAGTTGCTGCGCCACTTTTGTATTGAGTAATTTTTTCACTCAAAAACTAAAAAATACAAATAAACAAACTGATGTGTTTGCTGATTGCTTATAATAATATCAACGAAGGTACTTACCCTGCTGTATTCGATTATACAAGATCAGCAACTCTGGCAACCCCTTCGGAGTTAGTGAACTTCGCTCCATGTCTTTTCAGAACATTCAAGGTATTCTGGTTTAAATTCACAGTACATAATCGACGATAGGCACCTGTAAATAGTATATATAAAGTTTAATCAAAATTCCGTAGTCTTGCATAGAAAAATACTTACAATATCAAACTAATTTCTTTTGCATATGATAAAGTCGGATTAGTTTTCAATTTTTCAATCGACTTTAACTGAAAATTACGAAAATCGGTAGAGATGTTGTGTCCATTTTGTGTTACCCACTATACAAAAAGAGGACAGGATCAGAATATATCAGGATAAAAATACCACAAAACAATATTTCTCAATGCTTACGTCATTTTCAGATACATTATTTATGACAACTTTATCAATCGCGTGACTCCATGACAAGACAAACTTGAGTAATATGAACCAAATTAGTCAATGCCAAAATTGTGGCAATGTTTTTGAAAGATTATGTTATCATCGATTAACACTAACCTTGTATTTCGTTGAATCTTCCCCTGTCTGTGCTATAAAAGGACTATTGTCGACCTCACGTGTAATCCTTACATCAGATTCATAACGATCGTTTGACTTTAAAGAGCAATACAAATTAGAAACGAGCTTATGCAAATCATACGACAAATAAAACGAAAAAAAAATTACTGGAGAGGCCTCAATTGATGTATCCTCAACTTCGGTCTATTCTTCATTATAAGAATTATACATGTAGTTATAACTTGGAGGGGAGGAGGAGTGTGACTGTGAAGGTTGGGAGGAGGAGTGATGGTTGTAAAAGATTCCTCGGCTGGTCGTTTTCTTTCATTCTTGAAATTCACATTCATTCGTTAGTAATGTACAATTTATAGATGCAGAACAAAAGGTGTAAAAAAAACATAAATAACATCTTACTCTTCTCGCTGATGTTATGGGTTCGGATGCAAGTTCCAGGTTTGCAATTACACCATCACTCAGAGCATCAGCGTAGCACTGGACGTGCGTTACAGCTTGAATAACACCATTAATCTATACTATTACAAATACAATTGTAGTCAGTTCCGTATCTATACAGTTAATATTGAAGTTTTACCTTATGAAGTTCCAAATCCGTCTTTTCTGTTCTATCCAAAGAATACGCGTCTCGTTTTCGACAATGAGCCACAGACAGTTTGTCTATATCGTTACCACTTTTACGTTGGTTCTAAAATCACAAAAAAAGAAGGCCATTAGTTCGGAAAGTCTTCCTGATCTTTCTGTATCTCACTAAAGCTAAAGCTCTGGGCTGCAGCAGGCTACGACAAACGAACAGTTCATCGAAGGAGCACCGAACAGCTGCACTTCCTAGTCGTAGATAATCAAATGGCTATTTAGAATCTCCATTCGCTCGTAGCTGCGACACAACGGACGAACAGTCCATCAGAGGAACACCGAACAGCTGCACCTCCTTGTTGTGATGAAAAAGTTCATATGGAGACTCTTATCCTGAAGCAGCGCCCGCACCCGCAAAATATAATATAATTATTCTTACCTTTGCTAGTTGACAAAAGAGCGTGAGCTTTTCTAATTATCTTGTCATCGTGTCATCTGAACTTTTATCAACAATATCACGGAGAGTTTTGAAGAGTTTGTCAGAGGACTTGTTATAAGTAAGCTTTTCGGGTTCCTCTTTGTAAGTGCTAATCCAATTTTATGGTATTGAAAAATATCCCAGGCTCAACTTCGGTTTCGTCAAAGTAATTAGCCATTATATTGGGCTAAGGAATTTTTATTTTATTTTATAGTTAAATTGGACGCGTTGGACTAAGGGATCACATGAAGAAATCACTAAAGAAATTTTTTTATTTTTAAGATATAGACACGACTGGAGCTTAACAATACATAAGGACAAACATAAACTACTAGTCTAATAAATCCTAGATTAAAGATAGTGCCCAACCTCTCTAGAGGAGCCAGAAGAAGTCGCCCTGCCCGTTATTAAAAAAATCACTAAAGAAATCTACTAAGAAACTATTTATTTGATGACCTTAATAGTTGAACTTTACACGTGATCATCACCACATCTTGACCCGCTGCATGCACGTTGTCGATCACATATATTCCATGAATAGGATCGACAACGTGAATTTTTAAATCTTGAATGATTTCGGACATTTTACTGCAGATTTCAGTATTTTTCAATTTTTCTAAAAACTTTTTGTGCGCTGAGTCCGATCACTGCTGCACACTGGCTGCACAGATCGTTTCACAGGGCTTAACGATAATTATAAAAAAAATAATTGTTAAAAAAGTTTTAATAAAACTCTTAAAAAAAAAAATAAAAAGTTTCGATTTGATCAAAACCTTTAAAAGTTTCGATCAAACTATCAAAACTTCCTTTTTAAAAAAAATTTTTTGACGCAAGATTTCAGTATGTGCAATTTTTTTATTTATTTTATCCTTCTTTAAATGAGTATTATTAACATTTTACATTTTTTTAGCTAGGCGGTTCTTTAGGTTTCTTTGGACGTGAAATTTTGGTAAGTGCAAATTATTACTTTTTCTTCTTTACTCCGACTTCTAATTTACATTAACTGACAGTTTGTTCTCTTTCTTTAATAGACAGTTAGTTCTTTGGCTTTTTGTACATGAATTCAGTAAGTTTTTCTTTGTTTCTTTAACAAAACGGTTATTAATATTTCATTTTTTTTTAGGCAGATCTATGAGGTACTATCATAGGATTGATTATATGAAGGTTGATTTAAGCTGAGTTGATTGAATTAAAGACAAGCGTCCTGTATACAGTATAGTACCTTTGTAAGATCATTTGATATTATGATAGTACGGACACTAGAGTCATGGGATCTCAGTGAGAAATCATTTAATTCATTTCTCTTAATAAAATGTTTCCTAATGTTTCATTCATCCCTTTTTTTAGATGGTTGTTTCTTCGGATTTCTTTAGACGCATAAGAATTTGGTGAGTGGGTTTTTCTTTGAGTCAACTTATTATTTTAACAAAACGTCCGTTAACATTTCAACACTTTCTTTTTTAGGTGAATCTGGATGCATGGGAAACCTTTAAAAAAATGGCTTTTAACTTGTTTTTGTAGGGAAGAATTAGCTCCGACTTGATTGATACCATTGTCCAAATCAGGTTCCCACCTTGTTATAGTTGTATCACCAGGGGCGCTATGTCAATGGAAATTTAGTACATTGATCGCTTAAAAATCCGTGGCTATCCAATTATAACAAGAGGAACATTAGATAATGTATTTGTAATGTACTGTATTTTATAATTAAATTTCTACAATTTATTGTTAATAAATTAATATTATGTAATGTCCTACAAGACCAAAATACATTAGCAAATTTTTGGTTGTTAGCACTTCAAATAAAATAAAATAAAATAAAATAAATACGAAACAAAATAAAATATTTTTAACATCTTAAGAAATGATTTAGTCAATCATTGTATACTCGCAGATACATTGCACAAATGTCTCGATTAATTTATTCCAAACTATTTCGAGACTGATTTTTGTAAAAAATGTCGTCACAAGATAGATACGAATTCAAAAATATTGGGCGTCGAACACGTGACTGCTAACCAGGTTTCTGGTAATCATGGAATTAGTATTCTCGGAGGATTTGTTATTTATGTTATTAGTTCTGAACGAATTTTACCAAGAAAAATAGCATTTAAAAAAATAGGTTATAAATTTGAATTTATTTAAATGTTATCAGTTACATAATATCAAAGATTCGCTAAATAATAATTTAGAAAAGTATAGAAATAAAAGTATAAAATACGATATAAATTTAAAAAACTATCATTAAATCATTTTCCATAAAAAAGTCGTAAACCTGTTTCCTTAAATATTGTTCACAGGCTCTGGTTAAACTTTCTGCTAATTCAGTATTTTGCACCTTATTATGAATCTTATTTCTTGCTGATTCCCGTTTAGATTTAGATTTATTATCATCTTTTAAAAAAGTATCCAAAAAGACGATAGCAAAAAAAGAGACCAAAACCTCTTTATCAAAACGTCTTGCGCCTAAAGCATCAATATAATACTTAAGAGCTTCAATGGTTTTATCATCAAACGTTATTTTAAATTTTCCAGAAGCGACACTAACAATTCTATCTTTTTCTGACACAGATTCGAGTAAGCGATTGAGATCGTTTTGATCTTTTAAACTTTTATAAACAGGTTCAATTTCATCATCTTTTATTTCAAACGTGTGAATGAACATTGGCTTTTTATTAAATTCTATACCAAGTTCGATCAAGTAATCCATACAAGTAACTTTTAATTGATCGAATTGTTTGAAAAGACCGAGTTTACCATCAATCCATTTTTTTGCTCTTTCATAAACATCTTTCCATTCATCATGGTAACAATTAAAAAAGGTTTCCAAGTAAACCATAACAAATACGGTCTCCTAAATTAACAAATCTAATCCGATGTTTTTTCCAGTACGACATTCAATAGATTCTTCGAACGTTTTGCCTAGTTCGATTTTTTTAAGTTGAAGTTGTTCATTAATGATTATATCATATAAGGGTAATGAACTATCGCTCTTTTGAGAATATTTAATGTTGTTAACATCATCAATGATCGCATTCATTTGAAGCTTTTTAAAAACCAACTCTTTATAATATTCGGTAATTTCAATTTTAGTGATAGTTATTTGTTTGAATTTAGGTTCATCCTCAGGCTTTCTTTTTTTGATCCACCTTCCATCTAATTCTATTACTTTATAACTTGATTTATCACCAGAAACAGCTGGTAAAGAGAATGGTTTGCCAGGAATGGCTTTGATAAGTTCTATAACTTCTTTTAAACTTGATCCATGTCGATGGCCAACACCACCATAGGAATGATATAAATCATCCTATCAAATGAAAAAAAAAAGAACAAAAATGAATGTCAATTAATGTAAAATCAATTAACAATTTCTTTGAAATGTGTTATACAAACTTTTATCCGCCAGGTCAATGCCTTCAATGTCTTTGAATTTGTATCAGGATAACATTTTTCAAAAAATTCAAGAACATCATCGGAAATACTTCTATCTGAACTAAGAAACATTACAATTGAATTCTAAAGATAAAAAAAAAAAATTAATAAAACTTAAAACTTTTGTAAAAAAAAAAATATCTTGCAATTAAAATGGTACCCACATTTCTATCAATATATAGAATATGTAGCTTAGGATATAATCCAATCAACAACTTGATGATCTTATCCAGTTCATCGATACTTTTAAGATCAACAGTAATTGGTAAAGCGTTCCCAATATTAATTCCTGCTATTTTCAAATGGCTATGAAGTTTTACAACAAACTTGTCGACAAAATCTTGGCAATTATTGATCACTGCAATTTGTGGAGACAACAAATCATCTCCGATAATTGAGTTTATGATTCGTTGTTCCAGTTTATCCAATCTTGATAGATCACTTGATGTTCTGAAACATAGATAAGATGATCATCCTAATAATAAAAAGTTTTTTTTCAATCTCAACTTTCCAAGTAAAAATAAATAAATGATATAATAGAATTAGATAACGTTTTACCAGTTTATTAACAATTTTACAGAATGTCTGGCTATGATCCCTAAAAAGGTCCGCAAGGAAAGAGTGTTTATCCCAGAGATTTCTTTTAGATTCTAACTGAAGTAACGCGTTTTCGACTAAAAGTATAGTAGTATTCAATACTTTATTTTTCAAATCATTATTTATTTATTTATACAACTTTCATTTCATAAATACCTGTAGACATGTTTTAAATTAAGCAAAGAGTTTTATAATAATTTCACTTTCGAGGTCAACGAATTTTGTCTGAAATGAAAAATTCTGTGTTTGGACCTTGGGGAAAATTCGTGTGTATGGTGCATAACACCTAAAGGCATCAATAGTCCGAAATTTATTTTTATGCCGATCATTACTAAATATAGTTAGATCATTACTAAATAAAGTTAGATTATTACTAAATTTGGTAATAAAGATATTGATCATTTTATGTATTATAAATTAAATTAATATGATTGGTTAAAATCATTTTCACGTGATTAAAAATTCCAAATTTTTCCCATTTACATATAAAATTATATAAATTAATATGAAAATACATCAACTTTAAATCTTAATAGCTCCTGAAATATGACAGTTATGGAAAAAATAATCTGATAATTCGAAAGAGAAGAACTTAAAGTATAATATTATCGGTTTATATTTTCAATTATCATAAAATTTTATTAAGTAGTTAACATTTTAAAATCACTAATTTTATTTGATGTCTTTAGATGTTATGCACCATATATATATATTTTTAAACAATACTGTTCTTTCTTTTTTTGCATTTTCAGCATATATCTCTTACATATGATAACAGATAATCATTTTTTGTTGGTACCTCGCGTACATGGGAACATTTCACTATTACATTATCTTTTTTAGATTTATCAATAATTTAAAATCAGTTCAACAACTGGTTATTTCTTTACGTATATTCCGTAACAAATTGCATATGCTATTC